CTGCGCGGGGCCTGGAGAGCCGCCTGCAGGGGGTGCGTCACCCAGGCTGTGCAGAGCCCCGACACCCAGGTGAGACTCCTCCCCCTCCAATATTTCATGCCTCATACAACAACCTCCCCCCATACCTCTGTGCGCAGCCCACTGCATGCATGCATGTATGTACCATTCTGTGACCACATGTGTCATCCCCAGCCCTGTGCCTCCTCCATGTGTCATCCCTATCCTCAGCCCTGTGCCTCCTCCATGTGTCATCCCTATCCTCAGCCCTGTGCCTCCTCCATGTGTCATCCCTATCCTCAGCCCTGTGCCTCCTCCATGTGTCATCCACAGCATTGTATCGGGGCGGCAGCCTCTAGCGGTCCCTTGTATCGGGGCGGCAGCCTCTAGCGGTCCCTTGTATCGGGGCGGCAGCCTCTAGCGGTCCCTTGTATCGGGGCGGCAGCCTCTAGCGGTCCCTTGTATCGGGGCGGCAGCCTCTAGCGGTCCCTTGTATCGGGGCGGCAGCCTCTAGCGGTCCCTTGTATCGGGGCGGCAGCCTCTAGCGGTCCCTTGTATCGGGCCGGCATGTTGGGGACACTCTGGGGACATGTGACATCTGAGAACAGGAAACTTCCTAATATTTCCTATCAGACTCTGCAGAACATCCAACTTAGTTTGGAATGATCTCTTCAGGGATCGAGCTGCAGAGTTTTCCACGACTCCCCCCATCTATCCCCCCGCATAGTGCAGCTCATAGTCGCAGTCATGTGATCGGCATCAGTAAATGGAGGCGGGTGGTGATTTGATCCGGAGCGGAGTTTATATTTCTAAATCAGAGAACTATTTCCCAGCAGATCACATGACATCGCACTGAGGAAGAATAATCCGCATTGTTCTGTCATCTGCTCAGATTTCCCTCCAATCACATTGTCCACATTATCCAATATCCATACAGCCCATGGCCCATAGTCCTTCATGGCCCATAGTCCTAAGACCTACATGGCCCATAGTCCTAAGACCTACATGGCCCATAGTCCTAAGACCTACATGGCCCATAGTCCTAAGACCTACATGGCCCATAGTCCTAAGACATACATGGCCCATAGTCCTAAGACATACATGGCCCATAGTCCTAAGACATACATGGCCCATAGTCCTAAGACATACATGGCCCATAGTCCTAAGACATACATGACCCATAGTCGTACATGACTCATAGCCCTACATGACCCATAGCACTAAGACATATACTGTACATGGCCCATAGCCCTACATGACCCATAGCCCTACATGACCCAAGCCCTACATGGCCTGTAGCACTAAGACCTTCATGGCCTGTAGCACTAAGAGAGGAGCAGCAAGGCACCATCACTGTGTAGAGCTACTAAACAGGAAGTGTACAGTGCCCCCTGTAATGAAGAGAAATGTCTGCCCCCACGGTGGTCACCGATTATACACCACAACCAAATCAAGATTTATAAACATTATTAATATAAACTTACAAGATGGTGTCTCCGTTGGGGGTGGGCAACCTCGGCCCCCCAGCTGTTGTGGAACTACACATCCCATGAGGCATTGCAAGACTGACCGTTACAGGCATGACTCCCAGAGGCAGAAGCCTGGTGCGATTTGTAGTTTCACCGCAGCCGGAGGGCCGAGGTTACCCACCCCTGGTCTCCATGCACTCTAGCGATGGTGTTGGTAACAGCAGGACTAATTCACAAACTTGTATCAAGCCCTAATTCTTTTTGTCTCACTATGTGACTGTTCTTTTTTAAATCTCGTTGGCTGTAAATAGCTGTCACTGAAGATAAGAGCCTTCGTCCTGTTAGCTGCGTGAATTGAGCCTCATTAGCATGACCAGGTGACAACGCAGGAGCCCAATTGGGAGGCAAGGACAGAGCGTTGTCACCCTGTAACAGGAAGTGCCTGAACGAGGACCTCCATGGCAGGATCACCGGGGGGGGGGTTATTATAATGAAAGCTGCAGATTCTAAAATCTTGAAATTGACCTCTGAGAAGATGTGAACACGGGAACGTTTATATAAGATTTTAGCGATCGGGTTCATATAAACTTTAATGTGCGGCGCTCATTGAGGTGTGACCGTAGCCTAGGGAGGGGGAGGGGCTGAGAGCTCGGATAGGAATGAGTACATTGTATGATAATGTGAGCGGGGTGAGATGGGTTATACAGGCCGGTCCAGTTCCTCCGGTTCTATCACCCGCCTATGTAAGTTTATTCCCTGGATTCTGCAACATCATATGCCCTCGTTCACACCTGAACGTTTTGTAGCGCGTTCTACGCTCGACGAACGCTCTACAAAACGCTCAAAAATATAAATCCCATTGTATTCAGTGGTCTCGTTCCCACCTTGGCGTATTTCCTCCCGTCCCTAACGCGCTACAAAATGGCCCACGCCTGAAAAGGTACAGGTACTACTTTGGGCCGCTTTGTTGCGCGTTTCCATTGGGATACAGCAAAGTAGCCTTCGGAAACGTGCGAATCGCGGTAAAAAAACGTGCGACGGTCGCGTGACAGACGCGCATATGCAATACGCCTAGGTGTGAACAAGACCTATGTGTTTGTACACCGATCAGCCAGAACATTGTGACCACCGAGAGGTGAATGACATTGATTATCTGCTTACAGTGACACCTGGAAGTGGGGGGGATATATTACAATGGTACCTGGAAGTGGGGGGGATATATTACAATGACACCTGGAAGTGTATGTATATACCCTGTTTCCCCGAAAATAAGACCTAGTTGTGACCATTCCCAGGGCTGGTGGTGGCGTAAAGGGGAAACTTGAAGAGCCGCGGGAGAGAATCAGCGGTGCCAACGCAGCTAACACTAGAGGTTGCAGCGGAGGGAGCAGAGCCGCATAAGCCAATGCTTCCTCTATAGCGCCGGCTCCTGTCACAGGCGGAGTGATACCAAATGCACTCCGCCTGTGAGGAATCGATAGTGAAAGTGCGCTTCACTCATTCTGGCCAGCGATTGGTTAGCAAATTGCTCTTGGAAAGGTACGGCGCCCTGATCACCATATTTTTCTACATGAATACATGTAGACTGTTGTAGATGAATAAGTGTGGATTGTTGTACATTAAAAAAATAAGACCGAGTGTGTTTTTTTGAGTCAAAAAAAATATAAAACAGTGTCTTATTTTCGGGGGGACACGG